GTCAGAAATGTATTTTCCTTCCTTTATGATAGTTATGTGGTGCCTGGTTTGTTCTTTTTGTTTTTTCTTTTAAATACCTTGGAGTATTAGATAGAAGCTTCTTAACTTTTTTGTTTGCTTGTATATCTGTTGTATCGATTGGCTTATTAATTATCAAAACGGTTATTTTTCACTTGGGGCCAGAGGTGATGATGGTGTTTAATTTTCTTTTACATAAATTAGCTTCTGGATGGTCATAAAAAATTTGGGTTTCTTTTTAAACAGAGCCATATTCTGTTTGGTTCTATGGAGCCTTCTGATTTAATTTGTTTCGCTCTTGTTATTTGATTAACCAGGTGACCTGACCTGGTCAGTTACCACTCAGACACAGCCTGAAATACAGAAGGGGACAGAGTTCCTGGGACATATATAGGGTGAATGTTTGGAGGTTAAAAATAGTTTCTAAATTATTAACCAGGTTAACGGAAAAAAAAAACAACCGTATTTAAATTTTTTTTTATCTTCTTGTTTTCACTATTTGTACACATAGCAATTATGAGAAGATGCTGATGTGCAAAGTTTCTGTGTATTTACACCGGGCAGTAGGTACTGGCAGCTAACTTGGGTGTAAACTAAAGAGAGAGAAAAAAAGATAACCTGTTATTTTCAGTATTTATATTGTCTCATCTCCCCTCCCACCTAATTCCTTCAATTGTCTCCTAGATTAGAAATAAGTATTGTTTCTGAGTGTTTTTGTTTGTTTGCTTTTTAGATTTTTTCCCCTTCCTATCACCCACCTTTCCCTGTTGGGCATTAAAGAGAATAATAAGGCATATTATTTTAATAGTCTTCAAGCATTCAGATGATACAGAGTCATTTTGCAGAAAAAGAAAACCGTATCAGGCGGAATTTACACAGCAGTACATGGGCTTTTAACAGCAGTTGTTAGTGCTAACGACATTTTCCCAGTTGCTGGTATTAAGGTCGCAGCAGGCCCATACTAGCAGCGTTCCAATGGTCCAAGCACAGCTGTATTGCTGCCATTCCTGCAGGTTTGTGTGCACCTGGGATCGGCCACACCCAGTTGGTATCAGTCAACAGTGTATCATGCCCTGTGTTTTTTTAATTCATGATTTCCTCTTGAAACTCAACTAAGGAGTGTTAACTCTGTGTGTGTGTGTGTGTGTGTGTGTGTGTGTGTGTTTTAAATTCAGTTTTGTATGCTAGCATTCTTTAAATGTCTGCCAGAAGTTTAATTTGAATTTCTGATCCCTGAAGGCAGCTAGACAGAATCATTCTAGTTCTTCATAAATTGTCTCCTATGATTCATTGTTAACTCATAAAACATACTCATTTCTATATACTCAAACAGTTAAGGTAGTTACAATATTGGGGATATAATTTGGGAGGGGGGGGACCTTATATTTAAATTGTCTTTTGAGAAAGAAATCAAGAATTAGCTTGAACTCCCAGTTAAGGCCTGAGCCCTATAGCACACGAAACATGAGAAATTAAATGTTTTTTATCTCAAGGAGGGTAAGGTAGATGGCATGAGATCTGAAAAAAGTTTAGTTTTTACTGAATAATCTCAAAGAGGGGCCCATAAATATCAAAGTGCTGTAGTTTAAAACTCACATGACTGTTTTAAATACTATTGATTTAAACCACTGGCTAGATTTTATGAATCAAAGTGTAATTTCTAAGCTTTGGCCATATTTCTCAATGCTAAAGCACTCTCTCTTGTGTGCCTTTAGCCGCTTTCCAGACATTCAACACAGGATTAAATGATAGTAGTTACGGTGATCAATAGGTTAAGACTGCTACAATCACTCTTGCCGCTAATGACCTCAGTAGTAATGGGCAATAAAGTGTGGGCTATAATAGCCTCTCGCTGGTACTGCATGCCCTTTGATTCCTAGTAATAGTAGGGACTAGCTACATGAAAAAGTTGGACATTGGGAATTAAGGGAGTGGATATATAGGCTATAATTCTTAACTATTTAAAGCCTTAAATTGTGCTCAGATTTTTTTTTTCCTCTTTTCTACCATGGTTTCTGGTCCATTTGAATATGTTTGTTAAAGCTTTCCATAACCTCTTTTCGCGTCATGTTGGAGCAGAAACTTTGGGGAAATCTCGGTTTTATTGCGTATATAAATTAAGCTTGAGCCCACTTCGGAGGCCCAGAGCTAACTGGTATGAAAATGTGGTTTCAGATAGTAAAAGCAAAGTTAAGGCCATAGGATATAATAGCCCACTTCTGATTATTCAGAGACCGATCCACCAGCTTGGAGGATTACTCAGGCCTCTTGCTTCTTTCCCTCCTTTGGCTGTGCCTTGCTGCCTTAAGCATGTTATTACTCATCAGTCCCTCCATCAAAATGTCCAAAAGGAAATAGAAGGGGAGACTCAAGTTCATTGTGCTATTCTGTAACATGACTGCAAGAAATGAATAACTGTGGGAAGGGAGACCTAGACCATTGACTGTTACATAAGCATTTGAACGTTATCTGTACAGGTGTATGTCTGTCCTTTCCTTGACATGTTCTTTATTTAGGAAGATGCATATAATTTTATAACTTTTTTAAAAGTAAATTTAAGATTTTTTTTTTATTTTTAAAATCTAATTTATTGAGAGGTAATTTGTGTAGTCTGAAATACACTCATTTTTAAGTGTACAGTTGGAAGAGTTTTGACAGTTGTAGACATCTGTGTGCCTCCCACCCCAATCAAGACAGGGCATTTGCATCACACCCAAAAGTTCACTTGTGCCCCTTTCTGGGATTTCCATAACTCTTTAAAAAATTATAACCAGGCGGTTCTTTCTGTGATGCTCTCTGTTGTAACTCTGTTAAGTTCATGTTCTTTACCAGTTTAGATTTTACACCACCCTATTCCTGTCTGATTTCCTGTTCATCACCATCAGAAATTTGGCTCAAGAATATTTACATTGTACATCATCCAAGAAATGCAGAGGAAAAAAGAAACCTTAAACATGGCTCTTTTGTTTTCTTAATCAAACCTCCCTGTATGATGATGCAACTCTCAAGGAAAAGTAAACTTCTATTGTGATGTTTTGGCTTTAGCAGCTCAAACCCTAGTGATTGGCACCCAGTGCATATTTTTAAAATTCTAAAAGTTTCTTCTGTATTAAGACAGAGTAGATTAATTGGAATTAATTTGTAGATGGCTAGATGTTTTGATAATGCCTTCTTCGTGTTTGCCCTAGACTGAATGCAAGTTCACTGTTCCAATCATTGGTGATATTTCGTGCTGCAAATTATCTTTTTAAAAGGATAATTTATCCATTCATATACATCTGTCTCATTTTGCATATAAAAATATTCAGACATGCCCATCTGTTTTAAATTACAGTGTATCTACATCTACACTTAAAAGGCTACTGCAATAGGAAGAATTCATGGGTGACCTTCCAGAGTTGGGTTAATGAAATTTTTTCGAACGTTCCAGCCTGTGTTTTCTAAACATGTGAAACTTGCACATCAACATCCTTACCCACGAAACATGCCCACAACAACAGTGGAGAACGTTCCCTGTACATGAATCTGACCTTCAGGAACCATTTTTAGTTCATCAAAATTAGTGATGCTGAGAAATCGGGACATCAGTGCATAATGACTGTGAAATTAGGAATGAGAGCTCGCTATGCAAATGACAGGACAAATCATGTGAAAAAGTCAAGATAAACTGCATATTAAGACATTATGTTACATAAAATTAATACTGCATCTCTCCCTTTTGCTTACTGCTCCCCTGAAAGATTTTTTAATTCTTTTATCTTCTGATCAGCTATTGTCTGCTGGATTTTTTTTTTTAAGTGGCACACAGGCAAAGTGCAAAACATGTTATTACCTTTTATTGTAACACATGAGATGACAGCAGATCCTTTTTAACAAAGTATATCCTTTACTGCTTCTAGCTTCTTGCTGTCACATGTTTGATTAGAAACCAAAGAGAAGTTAAGATGCTTAAATATTACTGTTAGAAGACATACAGGTTTTGTCTTTTCTTTCATTGTTTTTTCTTTCCTTATCTTTTTATTTGGGGGGGGTGATTTTTCATGAAATAGTCTTCTTGCATTACGGGGACTGACAAAATGGTTCTCATGTAGTCTGCAAATTAAACACAAGTGCAGTGATTATTTTGAATAGCTAAATTACATTCTAGAAAGCTTGCAGAATTCATAGCGTTGTCATTAGGTATCCGCTTGAATACAATTTGTGTAACCTTGGCCAAGACAGCCTGTCATTTTAATGTCAGTGTTTTATCTGAACAAGACATCATCCTTTCAGATACAGTGTGCAGGTTCCTTGCAGAGATGCCCGTGCAGAAATGTGTTAACAGTTGCAAATATGAAATGCTATCAAGTTCATCACTGTAGCTGTTTGTCACTGAAATGTCATGGAAAGCGGCTTTTAATGGTATTGCACATAATATGAAAGAATTGAGACATCTGTACGCTGGGTGAATAAGGAAGGGTAAGAGGCATTCTACGAAAGGTCTGTGTGTAAGTTCGGAAGGTGTGTCCAAGGTTTTGTCCCCACAAGACTGAGCATTCATTGATTGTTCTTAAATCCCTGTCCACGGAGGATGTGGGTCATGTTAGGTCTAGTTTGCAAGGGTATTGGGTTGCCATTTGTCATCTTCTCTAAAACAGGATTCAAGTTCAGGGTAACTTCCTACAACTCATTTTGACCAAAGAAGTCATTCTTAGTAAGAAATTGAGATCATTCTATCCTAACCCCAGTTAGCCTTTTACATTTCTTCTTTGCTTACAAGGTGGGCTGGAACCCCTGTCAGTGCAGCAAGGTTTTATTTTTCTTTATTTGAAATAAACTCTGTAATAGATCACATGGGATGCATCGCTGCCTGGATGAGATGGGTTTTGCGTGGGAAATGGGTCAGTTCTGTAAGCAGGCTGATGGCAGCCTGCCGCAGGACCCGGGAAGGCTGCGTGCTCACAATTTCCTGGCTCCCTATTTATTCTTCATTAATGTTCTAGGTTCCCGTGTCAGTGGCTATGATGACACCTCAAGTTATCACTCCCCAGCAAATGCAGCAGATCCTCCAGCAACAAGTGCTGAGCCCTCAGCAGCTCCAGGTTCTCCTTCAGCAGCAGCAAGCCCTCATGCTTCAACAGGTAACTGTCTTCTTCCTCCCCACCCCACCCTGCTCCAGCCTCCCACGGGCCTGGGCCCAGCACTCCCTCCAGAATTCCCTGCACCTGAGAGGCTCCTCTGTCCAGTGAGGAATGAGCAGAGCAGGGCGGGTGGGGCAGGGTACCGACCAGTCCCTGAATAATCGATGTGCTTTGCATCCCCAGAAGAGAGGAGCCCTGCCAAAAGCGAGTCGTAGGGTTTTGGCCTGGAGAGTACCCGATGGACTGAGATTAGGCCTGTAATTGGACTTGGTAGAAATAAGATCTTTTAGGCTTACGTGGCTTTACACTCTTTTATTTGGTAAGCCCAGAGGCTTCTAAATGGTGTGAATCAAAGCAAAACGAGGAGCACGTTGGGAGCAGCTTTAACTATGACAGCTCTTGAAGTCCACATTTCAACTCGGAAGCATACAGATATTTAAAAAAGAAAATAACATGAAGCTTTTTGGTGTCGGCTAATTTTGAGATGCAGAGTTGATTTTACTCGGTCCGTGTGTACTGATGCTGGAATGAACTTCCTGGTTGTCATTGTGCCATGGGGACCTGATACTTGGACATATTGGTCACCCGACCCAAAGAGATGAGATTATTCAGTCCTAGGGTGGTGGGAGGCACTGCCTGGGGTGGCGGAGACAGTGCAGAGGAGGCTCCCAGCACCGTGACGCACACACTGAACAGCACTCCAGAGTGCCCGGCCCTATCAGTCAGAAAGCACGCAGGAGAGATTCACCAGACTCTCTCAGCAAGGGCGTTCTGGCTTTGTTGTACAATCAAAGGTCATTCCTTGCCTTATTCTAATTAGTTTGTGTAGAAAATGGTATGTTTTTCATCAGTTCATTTTGGAGATTACTTTTCAAACAATAATGCCAAGAATAGTCAGTGTGCGCTGAATTTATTGTCTAGTTTCAAACTAAAGGTCAGGCCATTACAGATAAAAGGATGCTATTTTTCAAATCGCAGTTTGTGTATGGCACCAAAAGGGACAGTGGCTTGGCGCTACCCTCTGTTACTTACCGTCGTCCTCTCTTTCCTTTGTAGCAGCAGCTTCAAGAGTTTTATAAAAAACAACAGGAACAGTTGCAGCTTCAACTTTTACAACAACAACATGCTGGAAAACAGCCTAAAGAGGTACCGACAATACATATTTTACTTTCAAACCACAGATCCCAGAGGACTATCTAGTGGCTATTAAACTGTCATTCATCTTTTAAATGATTGCACAACTGAGCTGACTCTATCGGTTCTCAGCTTTCAGACTGAGAGTTATTGTCCTGTTTTCGTTCAGATTTTTCTGGGTTCTGTTTGCTTCCTGCCACATATTTTATAACACCGCCCCATGTGTACCTGCGTGAGGGACCGTGGGCACAGCCTTCAGGGCTCCTTTTACAAACTGGTACAACTGAGGACCAGGGTGTAGCCAGGGGGAGTGAAGTGCTCTCTGTAAACTTTTATTTGGACCCACACTTCATTTTTTTTCCCCTGCGCTCAGAGAGCTTGGGTGTGTGATGATGGCCTTTTCCATTGGAAGAATAACCTCTTGTGAGGTTGGACAAACAAACACAAAAGTTAGAACAAGATTAAACATCCCTATCTTTGTTTAACTTCTTCCTGCAAGTGATACATACTGTAATTGCTAAAGGCACGTAGGTACCAGGTAGCAGGACATAAAGTCAGAGAACCACTTTAGCTTGGATCATTTGTGTTTTCCTGGGGGAAGAAAAAAAAATAGCATGTTACAATAGCTTCTGTGTGCCCAGTGCTTTGTAGTTAATGCATTATGCCACGTCACCCATTTAGGCTAACTGCATTAGTCCCATCAATGGGAAGGCCTTCCCAGGAGTTACCCTTTCACCGTCTGTACAATTCTATGTGGGCAAGGCTTGGTGAGGGGTGGGAGCATCGATGTGCATGTATGTATTATTATAGCATCTTTCTGCCCATTCCAGAGTTACCCGATTTAACTTGCCTCCTCATATTTTTACAGTGGACTGAAATTCTTTTTGTTTAAAGCCATCTCCTTGGGATGACACAATTTATAATTCTATAAGCAGGACATGCACTTCCACAGCTTCTTCCCCGGCCCTTAGCAATTGGCTGCTTTCTTTCTTTTTTCTTTTTTTTCTTTTTTTTTTTTTTTGAATGGTGTCTTACCAGGTGACTGTCCACATCCCTGTCCCCTCAAATCAGTGAGGATACCAGGTAGCACCCCTTTTACACACTGGGAATGACCCCGGCACTCTCCCTCTGGCATCTCCTCCCTGGACACAAATTGGGCACATTTTCCATGCCCGGCCAAGTGTTCACCCTGGAGTCCTGTCGCAGCCTGGATGTAAAACCCCTGCAGAGTAGGGGCAGTTTTGGGGTGAAGGGGAGGGGGCGTTTTAATGAAAATGCTGACACAACCTTAAGTACAGTGGCGCACTACCGGGTGCTGCTATAATAAAAAAGGGAACAGATTAAAAAGTGTCTAAAATGTAAATCTAAAGGACTAACAGTAATTAAAATGGAAATGGCACAGGGAGGGAAGGCATGTAATTGTGAGATATCACTGTGCAGAAGGCTCTCAGCTTTGTTTTGCTGGCTGTTTTTCTAATTCAGCAGGGCTTACTCATCAGTGGCAGTTCAATGCGCGTTAATGACTCTGGGATTGCAGGCATCACTCTGGACAAAGAAATGATTATTGTGCGGTCAAAAGAAGTTCAAAGACAAGAAGGGAATTTCAGTTTTTTCCTTAGAGATCCACATTCAAGAGCATATAAATTAAGCCAAATGTTAAAAACCACAGTCTGAAAGCTGACTTCAAAGTCACAACTCTCTAATTAATGAACTGCGAGCTTCAGTTTGGACAAGTTGTGGTTTGATGCGCCCATAAATCAACATGACAGGCCTGTTTCACAGTCTCAGACAGTGCTTGTCATTGAGTCACATCAGATGTAAACACAGCAGAAAAAAGAAGGGGTATGAAGGAGGTGCAATTGATCAACAGAATTGGTAAAAACCCACTTTTGAAGCACATTATGCATGATCACAGGAAATGGTTACAGCCTCAAGAGGTTTCCCCTTCTGCTGTTGCTTTTTTGAATCAGATTTCTAACAGCCTTCAAAAGGGAGAATAAGAATTATGGAGTTTCTCCCCTGTGGCTTGCAGGCAATAACCCCCTGTTGTTATTTTGTGCTTCTTTCTTTTCAAAGGCATCAAAATTTAGTTTTTTAAAGATCTTTAACTCTATATTTGAAGACAAACAAAAAAGGGCTGCCACTGTCATTCTTATCAGTTACCAGGGATTGTGTTTTTCCCTTCTGTTGCCACTTCTTATTAACCTCTTATTTGGTCTGTTAGACATAGTTTGGAATGCACGTCTGCATGCTGGGAGAACATGAAAGTTCAGACGAGCTCAGAGGGCAGATAAAGAAATGTGAAGGGGAAAGTTACACAGCAGAAAGAAGGATAAAAGTTACCTCTCCCAAATTGCTGTTGTCAGAGAGGGGCGGGGCGCGTCTCAGAGCCCAAAGCTGATGGTGGTGCCTGAGTTTGGGAAGGGAGTGCGGATGAAAAGGGAATACTTGGCATCTGAAAGAGGAGAACGTTGAGACCCTGTAGTAGCATTTTAGCATCTCCAGGACACCAGGTTTGTCATGGTTGGTGCTTTGTCATCTGCTTTGCAGGCAAAGGTGACCCAGGAGATAGGCTGCTTTGAAAACCCTTAGGGGCCAGTGGCCAGGTCGCCTTGGATTTCACTGTGTGTGTATATGTGCCAGTGGATCCGGCCACGACCGTTGGGTCAGGTGATCCTTATTTTCCTGAGGTGAGGGGCGCATCTCCTGAAATTACTGTGCAGGTGGCGGTCCTTTTGTGCTTAAATGAAATGGAGTCACATGGTAGCAATTTCATGATCTGGTCTGGTGGTTATGATTTTAACAAGGTTTGAACTCGGATGTTGACAGATGGAACAAGTATGTTAATTTACTGAATCCCCAGTCATTAGTGGCTCATAATTTTGTATCCTAAGGTTTACCTCCTCCTCCTTTTTATTCTCCTTTTCTGATTACCTGTGCAAGAAGACACTTGCAATTGGGTAGGATATACCTTTGCTCTTTTTTCTTTTCTTTCCTCCCCATCCCATCCCCACCCCAAAGTTGCCTGGAGGCGTTTCCCTGGGAAAGTTTGTCTCCACTTTTGAGTTAGAGACCTAAGACTTTCCTTCTAAGACAGATGCTGTTAGGGAGGGAGAGGTTCCCAGTGCAGTTAGTGAACTGACTGCTTGTTTAATATTTGACAGAAGTTGTGTAGAAAATAGAGGGCAGAATTCATTTTTAAATCAAGCTACAAAAAAAGGGGGGAAAAAAGATCCCATCCTGTGCGGGTGAGGTAGGCTGAGTTGATTGTTTTAAAAGGGCCGTTTGTCCCGGGCAGTTATGACAGTTTATGTTAGGCAGTAGGGAGTAGCCGAAGAAAGGAAAACAGACCTTTGACTGCCGCGCTAGGGAGGGGATCCAAAACGCGAGGTTTATCAGGGCATTTTAGCATTTTAACACTGACTACTGACCTGTCGAGGGGACTGCACGGAGACCTTTTTTGTATGCATTCAATTGTGAGAAGTAAACAAACGGACTGGTATCCTGTGTTTGGTAACTGGGTGGGGAGCACAGTTTGGCAACCAGTATTGCTTTTAAATTCTTTCTTTGGACAATGGGCCTTGTATACTTTTATATCCTGGCTTTTCAAACGTGGACAGCTTTCATGAGCTTTTCCTAGGGATGGCCACAGAGACAACAGAAAGGCATCAGTCATTTTATATAAATACAGAATTTTTAAACATTTCATTTACAGTAAGACAGGAAACACCCTCCCCAACTTGTAGCCTTCCCCCACCGCCATTATCGTCTTCTAAGTAGAGCTAATTCCCTGATCTTTTATTGTGTCAATGGCGTTTTTTCTCTTCTCCCCCCCCCTTTTTTAATGTTGTGAGTTAATATCTGTTGCAGAAGTGAAAAAATCATTTTGACATGAATATAACTATCATTGGGTTTTACATTAATGTGATAAATTGGTAAGGGGTGAAAACAATTGGATCATTTTATGCATGCTGTTCTTAAAATGAAAACAGTGGCTTTTCATTTAAATTTATTTAAATTTTTGTTGTTAGTGGTATAGAATTTGTTTTTTGGAGTGAAACTCAATTAACTTTCTCAGTGGCATGGTAGTAAGTCTGAAATTGGTTGCTAATATGAGAATGATGGTTTTTACTGTAAAATAAACTACATGGAGACGGAAAGGAAACCACCATTTTTCTCTTTCTTTGAACTTTGCTTCAGAAGGTCTTGATATACGTACCGTTTTATGGATGTATCAGATCAAGGTCATGTGTTAGGTTAAGTGAATGCAGTTGTTTGTAAAGCATAGTTATTAACTAGAACATGCAAGCTCTAGAAGGGTTGGATGGTCCTTTCAGTTGTGTCTCTCTCATCTTTTGACTAATACTCAGAGAGTTAGCAAAACTAATGTTGTTCTTTCCTAGGAGAACCTTTTCTTCCCCCCTCTTGGCTACAGTTCGAGAAGGGTTAATTTTCCTTTTATAATTGTTCACCATAATGTGGCTAAGACCTCCACCTCGATATGATTCCTAGCAGATTAAGGATATTAGACAATTTCCTTCTATTTATTGTACTACTGCACTGTATTATCTTTCTATCACTCAGATAATTACTGAGGAAATCTACATTAATTTTTTTGGCTGGAGCAAGGCCTGCTAAACACAGGAATGATGTATTGATGTTTTACACAACAAAAGTTTTCCCCTTGTCATGGTCCAATCACTGAAAAGATATTTATCATATCGTAAAGCCCCTTCTTTGCAAGAACAAAGCAGATGGGGGGTGGGGGGCAGACAGGACAAGGCACCAGACCTCAGGGGTTTCTGAGTCCAAAACCAAGTTAAGGCATTTGGAGCCTAGACTGCCATTCGTGTTAAACTCACAGTCGAGTACGATGTTGTTTGCTAAATTATGAATGTGTGTAATTAAAATCTAGTGGCTGTTTCTATGAAAGATTTACAGTGTTATTTCATCGTTTGTCATGGCTAATTAACAATATTAGATGAAGTTTTTCTTCTTCAAAGGTCTGATTTTTCCTCATTTATTTATGTCAAAAGTGATAAACAGAGCAGTTAAAAGCTTCTGCGGGTTGCAGGCAGGGAGGCAGGCAGCTTGTTCTCTTAACACCTCAGAGGTCCAGGGTTCAAATCCCTTCAGACAGAGAGCGGTGCTATCCTCTTTCTAGCGTGCACAATTAAAAATTTCAAAGTGTGAAAGTTCGTATCTTAACTACAAAACTCAGGCTTTTCCAACCATAGGCAAAGCGGGCTTGATTGACAAAGTACTTTTCTATGGGAGCAGGCAGTGGGAAGGTAACAGACCCACCCCACTGCTCGTCAGAGGTGGTGTGTTCTGTCCCTCTGAAACCTTGACACTGCGCCTTCCACTGAGCTCTAGTGACCACTCAGCTTTGGATGATGATGGTGAGTTTTGAAGCGTCCATACTTTTTAACCTTCCTTGGGAAGTGGCCATCTCATTTTTTTTTTTTTTTCTTCCTGATTTCTTACAGCAACAGCAGGTGGCTACCCAGCAGTTGGCGTTTCAGCAGCAGCTTTTACAGATGCAGCAGTTACAGCAGCAGCACCTCCTGTCTCTGCAGCGCCAAGGCCTTCTGACAATTCAGCCCGGGCAGCCTGCCCTTCCCCTTCAACCTCTTGCTCAAGGTATGCGCCGATTATACAGGAGGCACGGCTCTGTTAAGACTTCGGGTGTGTATGGGTGGTGGCCTGGGTGTTTCTTCCTGTATTCCAGCTTATCATTAAGGACATGGTCTGTCTAAAACATGCCTATGGAAACTTCTTTTAAAACACTGAATGAGTTAATGATGGGCCCTTGTAGAAACTGAAATGCTCGCTGATGCCAAAATGAAGTCTTAGGGTGGTCTGAAGCTTTAGCAGTAGCTGAGCGATTCCCATGCTTGCGGGTTCTTGGAGTGAGGGAACACACCGCTACCTTGTGCTTACAGCGCTTTAATGGACTCTCCTAGCGTTGCAGTTTGGAACCACAAAGGAATTTTTTAAAGGCTTTTGTTAAGTGATTTTAAGACATATTTTTTATCCTGTAACTTGCCCTATTTTAAATCATAGTCATGCTTTTTATAAATGCCATTTTTTAATACCTAGGGATAAATTCAAGTTTATTTTTCTGTAAATTATTAAAATCAACGTTTTTTCTAAAAACTGAGGATAATTTTAGTTGGGTCCTTTCATCTCTTTTTTTACATTCATCTGATATTTGAGCAAGTTAATTCTACACTTGCTAGAATGGTACCTAGAACGGGCACCATTTCCATCTCCAGTTCTTCAAAAACTGGGAATTCCTTGAAAAGTAACAATAGCCCATGGACTGTCTTTTGACAAACGACTTGGGATTTTTGATCCCAAGGGTGTAGGACAGCGGTTCTCAACCTGTGGGTCATGACCCAGTGGATCGTATTAAAGGGCTGAGGCATTAGAAAGGTTGAGAACCACTGGCGTAGGGCATCAGAGACAAATGGGAACTCAAGGTGTTTTTAGGACTTCCTCTCCATTTAAGCAACTCTGACTTTTGCATGTGTAATATGAAAGAAAGTGGATTATTCAGAACTAAAAAGGAGGGAGAGAGAGAGGGAAGGAAGAAAGAAGTGCCGTGGCTGACTGTTGAAACACAGTCCCCCGATTCCTCAGGTAGCAGAGCAGATTCCAGTGGCCTGGAGGCCAGCAGTCTGGTCACATCCAGCAGACCAGGAGGTCTGTGTGAGTCTCTGCCTTAAAGGCTGGTAGCCAGGCCTATCAACTCGGTTTTGTCTTTGAGCCAGTAATACCTGGGGTTGTAAAATCAAGTTCCACGAACAGTTGGCGTCTTGGATTCAGTGGCCTTACGAAGAAGGTTCAAAATGTGGAGCTTCCTTCCTGTTGCTTAAGGCATGGTCATTTGTGTGGTAACTGTTGGTGTCGAGAAGTCAGGCATGTCTGCATTTGAACCTTCTCTGAGTCAACCACACCCAGCCTCTGCCCCTTGCAAGGTTTTTTGGTTTTTTTATTTCTGTTTTTAACATGGAGAACCAGGGCTTTTTCCTCTGTTAACATCTCTCTTGCCCTCCAGCCCCTTTCTGCCATGACCTTTCAACTGCTTGGTAACATACCCAGCATCTCCATTGCTATCAAAAGAAGACTTGGTGATTGAGTAATACAGGGGGAAGAGAAAGGCTGTAGGTATCGGCGAGTGCATTTCTGTGCTTGCAAAATGTTACAGCACGCACTAATTACACCTCCAGGTTTATTGTTGGAAACATGGCAGGCTGTTCTGACACACCTCTTGGACTCAAGCACCAACCTCTCTTTTTCCCACCGCTCCTATACTATTAAGTTTGCTCACTAAGGTTCATTGTTATAGTACATCAGTTAAGCTGTCCAAAAGAGGGCAATTGGGCAGTGACAAGACAAGCTCATGTGTAATGTGAAAGAAATGAATGTGGTGATGCATGAAGTGTAATCTTTGCAGTAACATATCAGAGACACTGGTAGGTAATTCACTAGTCATGGCATTGATTGATGGGCTTAGCAGTCTGCTGTAACTATAAGCCCCTGCAACATTAGGAAGAAGCATATTTAAAAACTAAGGGGTGCTTGCATACATGCCCCAGGTCGCCTAGATGTAAATACATAAACATTTCTGGAGTCAGGTTCTTGGCGTAAAGTGAAGTACCAGTGAGTGGCACGTCCATCTCTTGTGAATCAGGAGGTTGATTTTGTCTTCCCCTAGCCCCCCTCGCCCAAAGTGGCTCAGGAATTCAGTCATGTTGGACTACAACACAATTTTTTTTATCAGAGAAATGATGGCTTAAAACTGATGTCGTTATGAGGTTTAAATCAACTTTCTGCTTGCCTGAACATGGTCACCTGGGTATGGATGTACAAGGACAAAAAAAGGTTGATCAACTCTGTTTTGTCTTTGAGCCAGTGATACCTGGGGTTGTGAATTGAGTTCCATGAGCAGTAATCTGTCAACTGTCCCCACAACATACATTTTTTAAACCTGTGCCTGCATTTTCTTTTATAATGAAGGGGCCAGTTGTCCTGGAAAAAGAAATGTTGCCAGGCACAGAGGTTATCTGCTAACGATGCTGGTAATGCCCATTTCATAATGAAATCACCACTGTCCATGGCCTTGCTTAAACATGTATGTAAATGTCGAACTATAGGAATAGTTACTATTTTGAAGTTACCTTTTCCCCTGAAGGTTTTATATTATGAAATAGAGGGGTATTTTTGTTGCTGCTTTTAAGGTTATTGTGAGGTCTTCTCTGTTTTACATGATTAGCATATCTGTTCTTCACCCTGGTCGTCTGTTTAATCATCTGATCCTCCCTAGCATCAGGAATTTCATATAGAGTTATGAAATCTATGGATCCTTCTGACCTTTTAGTTTTTTTAAATGTAAACTCTAGGTAGGAGAAAAGTACAAGCTTGGTTACGTACTGGCAGTTGAAGTTGTTTAACATGGTGCTGTTAGTCTTATTATGCCAATTTGGAAGAAACTCATGCTCTCTGGAAATTTGGTATCCATTTGGTATCCAGTCTGGGGAGTGGACTAGCTTTCCTTTTATCTGTTTCCATTCTATCGTGAGATCTCGGCTGTCACAGAACAGCGTGCCTTTTTGATAGTATTATTGAACTAACAGCTTAACATCGCTAACAAGGTACTGCGCTGATGGAGCAGAGTGATTTGACTGCCTGTTAATTCTGATGGAATGTTCTTAAATGTAATTCTCACTTCCCAGCTTGACCCAGAAGTACTGCTGTTGCCACTTAATGAGTTGCTATTTTATTTACTGTTTTTCCCTGTGGATGAACCTGTTTTGTCAGCCCATTGGAATAAAAGAGCGGAGTAAGGTTAATGCGCTCTGTAGGTCTAACAAGTGGTGAATACATTGTCTTTGTCTTCATTAGCTGGAGAAAGACCTTCTTTCAAACATCTTCAAAGTTCTGCTGTTCTCAGAGGGAAAGTGTTAACACTTGTTAGGACCCTGTTCTTAGTCTTCACACCACGTGTGCAACTGACCCAGAAATCAATTAGTTGGAGTTGAAAAATAGGCGGCTTGTTCTTTTCATGTGTTTACTCCCTAGAACATAAAAATAGGTGTTGACTTGTGTGGTTTTGTATCAATATGCTATCATCAACAGACAAGCCATTCACTATTGTTTCCATTGAGTAAACAGCGGGCTGAGGGTCAGCCACGCTCACAGGTGATTGTTGGTGCAGACATCAGCGGCAAGCCTGCTCACTGCAAACCCATCCCACCTGTCACTTCGGAAGGTGTTTGAAAATAACAGCCCAGATACAGCAGAACCGGACACAGGATGGTGTAGTGACCTTTCCTTTTCTTTAATTTGCCTCTGAGGTTCAATTTCAGGGGACAAGTAATAATTGAATATGCCTAATAACTAAATGCTCATTTGGGACAAAATCCATCAAAATATAATTGGCATTTGATTTTTATGAAGATAGAAGAAAACCTACTTGTCTGTCGAGGATGCGTCCCAGGAATATCTGACCACTTAATGTATCATTTGAAGCCTCCTTTATAATATATATTAATTGCAAATACTTGAGCATTTGAACATTTTCGTGGAGAACCGTTAGGAGAGACCAACTGTTTTTGTTAACGCTCCTCTCAGAAAGGCGGGGAAGGTTATTGGTCTGCTGTGCAATAATTTACTCCTCTTTGATATGCAAACGATCCACGGTGAATATAAAAAAATCCTATCAGACTCATTTCACAGTTCTTAACCACTCGGATTCTCTGGAGTCCATCGCCTCATTAGACCAGTGCTCTCCAATGCTAGCATAATTAAAATCTTTAACAGTTTAGCAAAGTAAAGATGTTTGGCTGATCACGTTGAGATGATTATCTATCCATTGTATTCTAAATGACAAAAATAAATTAAATTTAGACCTTGGCATTTTTTATTATGTGTTTCAAATGAATATAATGCACACAGCCTTCTTTTTTAATTCAATACCTTAGGTTTGGTAAGAAACATGCCTGTTTCGGCTGCTGCTATATAGTCAGAAAATGGCAGGCTTTCTAGGATAGCTGTGTTACAGTTGATTGAAACAATGAACTGCAATCCAGACGTCCGATTCTAGTGCAGAATTACCTTATGCTGTACATAAGGGTTTATGATTTCCTTTCAGGGTTCTTTCAAGGGGGGTTGCTGTTGTTTGTTATTGTTAGTTGTCATTCAGATCATTTTTCTGCTGTTGGTATATGTGCTAGAATACGCAGAGGTGGGATTTGGAAATCCTGGGCCGTAGAGGTATGACCCACCAGGATAAAGACTACAAGGCCCACCGTCGTCGTCAGATTGACAAACTGGTTGTATTTCTTCTTGGGGGAAAATACAGGTTGCTGCTTACTCCTTAACACCCATGTCCATTTGATGCTCTAAAAAACAAGAGGAACTTAGTTACTTGAAGTTTATTTCACATTTTCATTTTATTCTGCAATGGTTCATTACCACTGCTCTAAGAAATGACAGTAATAATAGTGTTACTTGTATAAAAAGTTACACACTTTTTCAGTAGACACATCCATCAATTAAGCATGTGGTACTAGAAACCAAAATTAATGAGGAAGATAGGTGTGTTAATGAAATAATCATAGTATAATCAATTTGACTGTTAAAAGTTGAAAAGCATTTCAGGAAGACGATACGAATTCATAATTTATGTCTAAAAGTGATTAATAAAAACTATATTTAATAACAAAGCTATTTGTCATCATTTAAGACTTAAGCACAAAAATTATTCATTTTGTGGTTCGTGTTGTCATAATAGTCTAGTTGAGCAAATTTATTTTTAGCCCTTCTTTGTGTCTAAAAATAAGGTAACATCCATCCACTTTTTTTCAAAAAGTGAGAAACAACATTTTGGACGGTAAAGGCAGGCATGCTGCTGTTGCAAAGTGACCATGTTTTTCATCCTTTTCATGAGTATCTTTCATGTGTGTTGACAGCACTTCACCTGGGTTGCTCAGTAGGAGGACACACTTATTATTACCATATTTGCCTTAGTTGGGAGGGGAAAAAAACTGCACACATCAAAAACCCCCCTTAACACTAGGCTTTGTTTACTGACTCTTTGATTTAATTACTGTTTGAAGAGGACGGAATTAGCTGTTAATTGATTTAATTATCCAATTTGTTTGTTTCAGGCATGATTCCAACAGAATTGCAGCAGCTCTGGAAAGAAGTGACAAGTGCTCACACTGCAGAGGAAACCACAGGCAACAATCACAGCAGTCTGGACCTGACCACGACATGCGTCTCTTCCTCTGCACCTTCCAAGACCTCCTTAATAATGAACCCACATGCCTCTACCAATGGACAGCTCTCAGTCCACACTCCCAAAAGGGAAAGGTAGGGATGAGCCTCCGAGAGGGGTCCGCCTCTGGCCTTAACATGGGAGGGGTAGGTGGCCTTGCCGTGCGGTATCTCAGTGCTGACCCCTAACTGGCTCCACGTGATGGGAATGTGCACATTGTTACTTAAGAATGTGTTCAGTTTGGTTTGAGTGCGAAGCGTCCTCATCATTTTCACCTTTTCAACATGGAATTAGCACTTATATAGATCTACTCTCAGCTGGGGGACCGGGACAGAAGTCTTGTAGTTCTCCGTTGGATGGGTTGGATTTCAAGGCTTCTGGGGCTGCTCCTTCTGCTGAGTGCTCACCCCATACAAGCTGAGTTCCTGACTCTAAGTGCTTTCTAAGGGAACAGTAGTGTCTACTGGGGGCAATTTTAAATTACAGTTTTAGAAAACATAGAACTTACGTTACTTTATGTTACTCCCCATGGAAGGCTGAGAGCCTATCTTTTTTTTTTTTTTTTTGCAGTTTTTGGCCAGGGCTGGGTTTGAACCCGCCACCTCCGGTATATGGGGCCAGCGCCCTCCTCCTCTGAACCACAGGCGCCGCCCCTGTCCTTCCCATGGTTGTGTCCCTGATGCCCATGGTCTTTTTTGCATAGACGCTGAGTGAAGGTTTGAGGGACAGAGAGGAAGGGGGAGTCTGTTGTGTGTACACACACCAATATACACGGCTTATTTTCTCTTGGTCGTGGGATACCTGGTAGCATTGCCTCAAATATTCCTATTTGGAGGTTAAGGCTTTGTGGTTTTTAATTGCCGTGAGCTTCATGTGAATGTTAGTTGAAGCTGAGGTTGTTTTAGAGATCTGGAATATGTCATATTAGCATGGAGTTCTAAGAAAATAAAGCTGTTAGTTCATGTTATTTTATCTTAGCACCCAGAAGCATTAATACTGCTGTTGAAATGCCTTTCAAAAGTAGAATATATTATGCTCCTAAAATTGAAAACTTTCCCCCCCAGTTGACTATTTTTAAACTGTTTCCTATATAATTTCATATGCAGAGCTTCCACACACAGGAGAAGAAAAGAAATCTCATACGTAGTGTGTGATAGTAGATGGCATTTCTGTCAAGAAAAGGCAAAATCTGTATTTTGTTTTTAAATAAAACTGACTCAGTAGAAAATTCTTTAATTATTTATTTCTATTAAGCAATTACAAATACAGTTTCATGTATTTCTCAAAATACTGAGCATTAGGAAGTCTACTGGTTTGATTACATGTATATCTTTATGTCAGAAAAATATTTTTCTGAATGTATACATTCAAATACGCATACACACACCTGTCTGTGTATCACGTTGAAGCATAAGAATTAGGAGTGGCCACCACAGGTGAGGATAATATATAGGTTTTAGTTAGAGTTTGCAACTATGCTCTTATGATCATTTTGGCAGTTGTGTTGGCAAAACTGAAAGATTCCATTAACACAGTGGTTCAGAGGAGTCTGAAAATCAGAATGGAGGACGGACCCTAAGAGTCAGTTTGGGGCCACTGGGTACAGTGTGGCTCCTGTCGTTTTCCAGTCAGGATGGAGATGTACGTCTGGAAGCCCATCTTAGTTCTTGCTTCATAATCTCTTATAACGCCTTTGTCATTTTTCTTTCCAAAATGGAAAAGCTTAGGTAGCATTAAAGAAAAGGTTCTAGGCTGTTGTCCTTTGCTGGACTTACTTTTGATGTCTTAACGTTGATGCCGCCCACTTACTGCAGAGCGATTGAATTACGTCTTTATCCATAGGCAGAGCGGGAGGCCGGACGCTGAAAAATGCCGACCCATGCACTTAAGGTATTTGTTGCAATCTCGTCAGCCATTGTGGAGCCTGCACAGATTTCCTGCGACACAGAAGACTCTTCTTGTTTAGATGCTCTGTGCTCGGTTTCATTCTAAAAGGTTACATATCTGCAGTCAGGTGATAGATTAGCAAGGAGGCAAGTGGGAGAAGAATAGCCCTTTTCATGTTTGGAGGCGCGTTTGGGCAGTAAAAGGATCTAAAGAGACAGTCCAATTTCAGGAGACTGTTTGAAAATTTTTTTTCTTCAGGGTCTTCATTTGTGCGAAAGTTTTGCTTAATCTTCATTACATGACATGTAGAATGAGAATATGGATCAGAGATGCCTTAATCTGGATGTAAAAACAAGCTGCGTTTTTCGATTATACATGCAAAAAGGAAGCAATATGAAATGATATGCCACTACTTAATCTCTTGAATCTCTCAGTTTATATTATCTGGTAGGTTTCTAGACGTGGCTAAAGTAAAAGAACATTCTAGTCAGCACATTTTAACTGAAGGTAGCTAACAAGACAAATGAGCACCTTAAGTTTAAAGATAATTCTAAAGTTTTAAGCGTATAGAATTGAATATTAAAAAATCAGTCAGTTAGCCAGCTTGGTGTACATATAGGTAGGTCACATGGAAGATTTTTGGCATCACCTTATTATGGTTCATTAAAAAATCACATGTATGATATCCCATTGAAGTAAAAAGTGGCTTTTTTAGAAAGGGAAAAGCTATCAGAACAAATGGTGTTCTCACTGGTGCACTGAGCTACCAGTTATCTCAGGAATTCCTTGTCACTGCTTGGGAGAAGTTTTACCTCTCACTTTCCAAGGCATTTGTGAAATATAGAGTGTCCATAAAGTTCACGTGCAATTTATTTCGCATATGAATAAGAAATATGTCTTTTAGATTGCACAGGAACCTTCTGGACACCCGTATATGCCCTTCCAAGTTCTTCTGTGACTTCTGTGTAATGTTCTTCCCCTCCGTGCTCATGCAGCAGTATCTGAAGAAGCCGTGTTGAAAATGATCTGGCCCCACAAATTTGCTCTCCAGTTAGCAGCTTCAAGAATTCTTTCTGGAAGGATCTGGACTGCTGTTTGTGAAAAATTGTTGGGGAAAGGTAGTATTAAGAGAGCCTTTTGTTTGTTTTTAGTGTGGTGAGAGTGTCTGGCAATCTCAGCTGCGTTGTGTCTTTCTGTGCTATCTGGAAAACTTTCCCCCACCACCCCTGCCCCGTGCATCGTGCTGGCTTCTCTGAGCAGCCGTTACGGCAGCGGCAGCAGCTCTGGGGTTTGGTGAGCTGCAATCTGTTAAGGAGATAAATAATGTGCTTGGCACGACACTCCTACTCTCCTCTTTAATTTGTCTTACACAGGGAAAATTATAATTAAATCATTCAGGGTAAACCCTTGAGTGTAGAGAAGGGAAAAAACACACTTTGGTAAAGATTGCCAATAGAAACCCACTTCCCTGTTGCGCAGGGTGGAGACATTTATCAATATTCAGCACTGTTGCGGGAGGAGCAGCCCATGTGATTTGCGAGGCGGGTGCCAGCGCTCACATCAGGGCTTGTTAAGATCCTGTCCCTGTGCAGTCATGGACATTCAGCATCATTAGAATTCAGTACTGGCGCTGTGCTTCGGGCTCAGATTTTCTCCTGACAGTTTAATAATGTTTATTGTGCTGATTATATAGAAACACGTTGGTGCGATAAATATACCTCTGTTGCCAGTGCCTGAGAAAAGCCTGGTGGGGATCAAGTTCACCAGCTGAAGCTAAAGGGGAGCTGTAGGAGGAAGCAGGTGCATTCCAGCCCCAGACTATCACTTCACTGTGCAGGAGCGGGGAGTCTTGACTTTTAGGTAAACAGACGAAATTCAGGCCTGGGGTCCCTATAAATATGAAGATACTGTCTTGTTTCCTAACTTGTCTGACTGTCTTCACTTTAGGAAATTCCAAGTTTTGGTGTGGGTAAACAGAATCAACAGAATGCAAATGAAACATTTATTAAAATGCTAAATTTAGTAAAGCCCTTTGAGCTTCTTGGATCAAAGCAGCTATGTAAATACAAATAGCAATTACTACTTAAGTAATTGCCTGAATTAAAATTCTAAATATCACATTACATTATGTTGCACTAGGGACAGGGAAGAGAAGTCGTGTTTAATCAGTTCCCTCTCTGTGCCGAGCACTGGCTGGACTATACCTTGTATTATCCGCTTGACCATGTGGGAAGGGGTAGGGATTATTACACCCATTTTACAGATGAGGAAATTGAATCATAGCAATTTAGTAGGTAGCCTAGGATAATAGAACTGGTTGGTGGCGTAGCTAAGATTCAAATTCAGGTCTGCCTTTCAGTTCATAAAATAGTACTTAAAAGTTTTCATTCAGCTTAGAAGTTGTTTACTAAGTTATAATGAATTTAAATCGATGTCCCTAAAAAGACATTTTAACTTTAAATTCATTAGAAAACACATTTATTATCCTGCTGCGTGTAAATCACTACATTTAAGTGAAATTACCATAGTCCCCTCTTCTGTGTTCATGAAGATGGAGGTGCCTTTACCAAATGTAAATGGCTTACGGTCTGAAACAGCACATACAGAAGAGAGATGAGCCCTGGGCAGGCTTAACACGCAGGCACGTACCAAACAAGCCTCTCCTTCAAAAGTATCCTCACTTCCCCTCCTCCCTTGTAAATCTGCTTTCTTCACTGAACACATCATATGGTGGTTATTCTATTTCAGCTGGCCTCTTTAGTCCAAACGAGGAATTTTCTTTCTGTCTTTTTCTCTCCTGATCTTTCCCAGCTTTTTGCTATCAGTTCAGCCGCCACTGGTAGATGTTTTATAACTTGAGTATTTCTCAGATCCGTCACTGTTGTGAATATTTGTTCCCAGGTATCCTTAAACATTTGGTGAAAGAGGTTTTTTTAAACTCTGCAAAGATTGTGGCTATATAGCCCTGGCTTTCTCTGAGGGATCGTATTGTTCTCAGAAACAGGTGAGCCAGGCTGGCAGTTTTCTCGCTGAGGTCCGGCCTGCCATCTTTCCACTCACATCATCCCTTCCTTCCTTTTCGTTCTCACTTGTTGACCTAGCCCCGTGTATTCCAGTGACTTGCGTTTCCCGCACTCTGTTGTTGGCAGCTGCCTTCTAATAACCCCAGAAGGGCTTGCCTGGCTTGTAGATGATTTCGCGGGATACA